TATCTTTTCCATAAATTTGGAGCAAGAATATTATAAGAACTTAAACACTGAACATCAGTGAAAATGTAGCCATCCATGACAGGTTTAAGTTGAAACAAGTCACCAAGTGTTATGATGCTAACCCCGCCAAAGTCTTCTTTACTTCCTTTTAAATCTTTCAAACGGTTATTCAACTGAACTGTGAACATGCTGTTTCCAACCATTGATATTTCATCAGGTAGTATTAACTTTAATGCACCCAGTTTGCATCTAAACGTGTTTAGCCTGCGAGAATCAAGTGGTTTATAATTTTTAAGTGATTGACTTGCTGGAACTGTCGAGGCACTATGAATCGTGTTACCTTTAATAATATAAGCTGCTTTTCCTGTAGGAGCAAGTAATAATATATGAACACGACGAAAATCTTCACCAGCTTGTGCATTATAGTATTTTAATGCCGCTTGATAAACTGATTTAATAAGGTGAGATTTACCAACACCTCCAGCTCCACTTAAAAAGGCATAAAATGGTTTATCAGATGTTTTAATTAAATGCAAAGCATGGTAAAAAAATTCTCTTTGCTTTCTATTAAGCATTTGGAGCAATCCTCGATATTCATCGTCTTGCATTTCATTTAAAATGAGTGGTTCATTATTTGGTAAGGATGATGGGATACCCAAATCCTCAGAAAGATTATAAGTTTCATTCAAATCTGGATGTGTATCTGTATTGCCTTCATCCTGATCTCGACGTTCAGTGTATTGTGTGACTGGTGCTATTGTGTCATAAAGATCGTCATCACATTCCTGTAAATGATGTTGAATTTCATTCAAATCTTCACTACAAACGGCATATTGTCCCATTTGCTTATTTATCTCATCATATCGAGCTATATAGTGTTCTTGAAATGAAGAATAATTTCTCATTAAATCTGTCTGTTCATTCCTCCATGGAGTAAAGAGCATGATCAACTCTCGATAATATTTTTCTGGTTGAGTTTCTTTATTAAACCAAACGCTTCGAATAATTCTAGCTTGTGTTCTTTTTTTAATTGATTTTTTAGAAGAAATACAACTTTCAGTGTTTTCATCACAAAGTTCATCATCATTGTTCTCATCTTCATCTTCCAATGGAAGGTGGTCTACATCTGAATTTTTAAGTGTTTTTTTATATTTTCTTTGTCCACAAGAGTCATACCATGCTGCCCAGTCAGCTAATGTAGCATTTTGTAAACAATCTGATCTTTCAGCATATCATTGGAGAAGACCACCTGAATGGATTTCTTCCGATTCATCTGACATTTTCGCAATTTCACATAATGGTTTCAGTAGTTCAACCCGATCACATGATGGGAATGTGTTAACGAACACGACGTTTCGAGAGCACTTCCGCATTGGAAGTTGGAGAATGATATACACCGCCTCTTGGGCACTTATTTCTATTGAGTTTAAGAACTTGTTTCCAATATCGCGAACCTGTTGCTTTATACTGGAATTTCCCTGTTTAGCTTCAGCACAAACTTTGCGTAACAATTCACTCATGCCTTTTTGTGCCTTTGAAATGTAGGAGACAATATGCATTGCGCAGGCATAAACATCAAGCACAAACTGAATGTCCATGTTAGCTCGCCATGCTTGGAGACATACAGGATTGTAATTATTAATTCTTAATTCATTCGGACTTCGTTTTAGAAATATTGTTGGACAATTAATCGATGATCTAATTGCAAGAATATAGTCATGTTCTGAAACATCTAAATCTTTTAGAAGTTGGTCAAATGTCATGTCTTCACCCTTTTTCAGATCATTCAGTTTATTCTTAATGTCTTTCCATACGTCTTTTCTGCTTCTTATTACAGTCCGAGAAGTATCATCATCCAGTGGATAAAGTATCTGTGTAGATCTCATTGGTGGTTGAGGATAATTGAATCTGCAAATTTTTTGGGCTTTTTTCGGCACGTGTGAGAATGCTTGTGAGTTTGTCTGTTTACAAATTCAAGTAATTTTGAGTCATTTTCTGGCTTACCACATGTTATTATTTTGTCAATGAATGCAGTGACATCTTCATCTTTATCAACACCAAACACAGGCGCGTTTTCAAGCAATATTAACATGTGAATATGTGTTGACCCTCGCTGCTGGTACTCAACCCTGTAAAACCAATCTTTTATTTTTCCAACAGGAGCAATATCACTCATTAAAAATTGTTTTAAAAAATATTGAATTGGTAATCAAAATGCTTTGCACATGTTACTGGATCACTTTGGATAAGTCTACACTTTTCATCCCATGTAAGATTGTCTAATTCTTTATCACTATAATCTTTGTGATCAATAAGTTTACCAAGGATCCTTAATAAATGGTTCCATTTTGTTTCAGCAGACGAAAAACTGCAAAATAGCGATGCTGGTCCTAATTGGCGAATCGTGGCAAACAGGTCTTTTTTAGCTTTTTCAAAGTAAGGTGGTGAACCTCTTAAAGCTCTTAAGAATTTATACCCTTCATCATGGCGAATTAAACTTTCTAAACCTTCAGGTGTTTTCAACTGTCCTGCATTGAGTGTTCTATTTCCCAATTTGCACTTTCGTAGGGCTACCTGCGATTGTCCAAGCAATAATTCATCTGTAATTTTTTGGCTTTAAAGAATATATTCTCAATGCACATCGCAGCTCGTCGATGAGATCGTCCTAATTCTGATTTGCATATTTCGCTATAGTAAACAGTTTTTAATCTTTGATTATTATCAGGTCTCTTTTGACCCCAAAATATTCTTGGGTAAGCCATTTCCTCTGAGAACTGATCTCTAAATAGACTGATGGGTCTACCACCCTCAGCAGGGGCAACATTGTATATGTGCTGCCTTTCATCATCATCTACAAAATCTGGAGACGTTAATAACATACTGTCAGTCACACCAGCAGGTATCTCTGCTTCTTCTACACTCCACTCTTCGTCTGAAGAAACTGAATTAGTTTGATCAACCGATGTTTTATTTTCATTCTCTTTATCTTCATTTGATATTACAGGATTAAAGTTAGCTATCCAATCCGCATCAAATGTTATCCTTGCTCCCTATATAAATCACTAGTATTTACCAACCAATCAGCAGCTTGTATAACTTTACTGGGTCTTACGTTTAAAGAAAGTGCAGAACTTTTATATTGTAGTCGGCGTTTTAACTGAACTTTTATTGTTCCAGTATCCTCAGATAATCTGGGAAGCATGTGAATAGTATTGCAAACATCTGCTGGAACATTCACAACATTTCCTGTTATTTTGAGTTGCCCTCCTCTCGGAGCTTGCATAATTTTTTGAAATGCCAATCGTGGAGCGACAAGTCTACATTCTAACTCATTTAAATCAAAGAAATCAGGTTTTACTGGGAAGTTTAATCCATTCGCAATTGCACATGGGGGGATTTTATCTTTTTTCAAATAATTGTTACAGGTCAAGCAAAGCCACTCTATGTTATCAACATTCATAATGTTTTGTAGATATTTAGTAGAGTCAGGGTTGGAAAATTTTAGGCGATCAGCATAACGAACACTATGTTTATACCATAATTGCTCACAGCATGAGCATACATATATAGAGGACCTGTGGATATTGATTTATGGAATTTATCTATCAACTGTGAAATAGGAATATGCGAGTTAAGACAACTTGTCTCTTCATTGTTTATTTCTTTAGTCAATGGTTGCCCATTTTGTTCATTATTTCTGTTTTTCTGTTGAGCTTTCTTCCGTTTAGTCGAGGACCTGTATATGAGTTTGTATGCATTTCATTTAGGACAGATAATCTCAACTGTTTTAGGGCAAGTTGACCATGACGGTCAACATGGTAACGCTGCCCGAACCCCAATCCGGGACGAAACGTCCTAAACTGACCACACCCAAAAACGACGCTTTCGCCATACTGCTATCTACCAAACCATAAAAGCTTTGGCTATTCTGAGGTGCTTATATGGTTCAGAGATGGTACTTTTGGGGTGGTCATTGGTAAGTGTGAAATGCCTAGCACTAATATTTCACAAGAAATGACCATGCAATAATCATAGTTAAACGTCAATTTGTGGCTTGCAACTTCAGATAAACAGCAGTGGACTTACATTACCTTTTTCCCTAAATCTTTTTGATAGAAACATAATTGGTACTTATTTAAATATATTATCACTGGTTTGGTGTGAATAGTTAATATTTTCTGACCGAAATAATAATTTGAAATGTGCCTACCTCCTGCAAATGGACGTATTTGGCCAAGTTCTCCACTTTACTCCGCTGTTTATCGGCGATCTCGTCGACATCCTACAAAAATGTAAATCATCTCAGACATAATGGTATCAAGAACATTTTAAACAAGTTTCAACTTGGTTTCAAGTAGATCATACCTGTTTAACCATCGACAAGGTAAATCCACAACTTTGTCCAAATTCGGCGCCATTTTGTCATCCCATGTCGGTTGTCAACAATTCGGCCTTGTTACTCTTCCATTCACGCCATATCCATTGCACAAAAAACAAATTTAACCCTTTGTTAAGGGTATTAAAATAAAAATACAAATGAAATATGCGAAATGCAGCATTTTATCACCCGGTAAAATGTTGCTTACGAGTCCTTCAAAACATTTCGTACAAATCTCGCGTGGTTTAGCAACAGGGACGTGACAGGGGGGGGGAGGGGTAGAGACTTGAAAAATGAAAGCAAAGCTCCACACAGTATCGTAAAAGTAAAACCATTAAACCAACAATCAGCATTTAATTTGTATGACTTGTTCATATTAATTAATAATAATATGTATATATTTGTCGCCACAAGAAATAAAACAAACGTTTTTGACGCGATTTCTGTACCGGATTGGCCTCTTGTTTACACTACGCCACTGTAATCCGGTACGTGCCGCGGCGCGAAAATCACTTCGCTTTGGAGGTGATATGAAAAGTAATCCGGTACGTGCTGTACCGGATAAAACCAAGTGTAATCAGGCAATCCGGTACGCTCCGGTACTATAAATGGGTTTCGGCAAGTATATTTTAACATTGTCGTTTTATTTACTCGCTTTTAAATATTTTATAGCTGTTGTTTGCTTCGCTTTACAATAATAATTATTTATTATTTCTAGCGAAGACAAATAAAGATAGCAGTAATAACATTGACTTCTTGCTTTCAAAAGGGCAAAATTTAATGAAATACTCGTCAATTTTCGATAAGAGCGAGACAAAGCAACGTCGGGTGGTCAAGCTTTGTAAACAAAGTTATAATTCACAAGTACTGTCGAGAAAACATCCAAAATGGTCAAAACTTATTATTTGTTTCCGTGGCAACGATAAAAGATACGAGCTGGCGACAGAGCGAAGCGGCATAGTGTAAACACCCTTGATTTTGGCTTCGGTGTGAAAATTGATCCGGTATGAAAATCAATCCGGTATAGTGTAATCCCAGCCTTAGTCTATTTCACGCAGCCTTCTTCTATCTTCGTGAAATAATTCACCCCCCCTGTCACGTCCCTGTTACTTTGTCACGCGAGATTTGTACGGAATGTTTTGAAAGACTCGTGAGCAAGATCTTACAGGGTGATAAAATGCTGCATTTCGCATATTTCATTTGTATTTTTATTTTAATACCCTTAACAAAGGGTTAAATTTGTTATTTGTGCAATGGAAATGGCTTGGATGGAAGAGTAACAAGGCTGAATTGTTAACAAGCGACATGGGATGACAAAATGGCGCCGAATTTGGACAAAGTTGTGGATTTCCCTTGTCGATGGTTAAACAGGTATGATCTACTTGAAACCAAGTTGAAACTTGTTTAAAATGTTCTTGATACCATTATGTCTGAGATGATTTACATTTTTTGTAGGATGTCGACGAGATCGCCGATAAAAAGCGGAGTAAAGTGGAGAACTTGGTCAAATACGTCCATTTGCAGGAGGTAGGCACAATTCAAATTATTATTTCGGTCAGAAAATATTAACTAATTTACACCAAATCAGTGATAATATATTTAAATAAGTACCAATTATGTTTCTATCAAAAAGATTTAGGGAAAAATGTAATGTAAGTCCACTGCTGTTTATCTGAAGTTGCAAGCCACAAATTGACGTTTAACTATGATTATTGCATGGTCATTTTCTTGTGAAATATTAGTGCTAGGCATTTCACACTTACCAATGACCACCCCAAACGTACCATCTCTGAACCATATAAGCACCTCAGAATAGCCAAAGCTTTTATGGTTTGGTAGATAGCAGTATGGCGAAAGCGTCGTTTTTGGGTGTGGTCAGTTTCGGACGTTTCGTCCCGGATTGGGGTTCGAGCAGCGTTACCATGTTGACCGTCATGGTCAACTTGCCCTAAAACAGTTGAGATTATCTGTCCTAAATGAAATGCATACAAACTCATATACAGGTCCTAGACTAAACGGCATTATTCGATATATTGCAGCCAGCTGAGGCCTATATTGCAGCCAGCTGAGGCCGAAGGCCGAAGCTGGCTGCAATATATCGAATAATGCCGTTTGGCCGAAGTAATTATCTATTAAATAATTACTGACCCGAATCAAAAGTAATTATTTTCGGCTGGAAGACTACGTTGCTGCTTGTTGGGACCGTATGACAATGAATCTATCCAACGTTACACTAGATATTTGCGAGGACATGCATGTAATGCATCGTGATAGAACAGATTTCAGTTTAATTAATCGCCCTAAATTAAAATCTCCACAAGCGGAGGTCAATTATAGTGTTCTAGTTTACATGTTATCATTAATGATCAGGTTAATTCAAAGAGCGTATTAAACTGGATAAACACGGGAATAGAACTTATGGTGTGTTCTGCACATGCGTATATCCAGGATAAAATCCCACAAGCGCAAACGAAACTATATGTCTATAAAGTTGAGCTGAAAGGACTCACAGTGACCGTTTTGGCAGTGCTTCAGGCGCCCGATGATATTGTATGAGGGGCTTTAGCACTTAGCCTCCTCCGCAGGCCTCTCTATGGGTTTTAGCCTGCGAATGGGTTTTGAAAAAAAAATTTCTGGTTTCCCACCACCCGATTCGTCGGGTGAGATGCCTGCGGAGGAGGCTATTTAGCACTGTTAACTTCTCATCTTGAGATGTTCACGTTATCGCGTGTACTTGTCAGGATGACGAAGGATTGCGAATAATGTCTGTGTGCACTGATTCACGCTGCATTATTTTTAATAATGCTGTGTGCACGCTGCATTATTTTGAATAAGGCTGGGTGCTATTTTAGCCCGTATAACCATTTACCCCTGGGAACTCCCTACAATCAAAAAAGACCGCTCCCGTTTCTCAGAAGAACACTAAAACTTCTAGACATTCGCTGATATAATGCAGAGAGAAAACAATAGGTTATTATGACCGTCAGTAATTATATAGAGAATAATACATGGGTGCGCCGAAATACCAGATTTATTTCGAGTGTTGAACATGATATCTCACGAGTATATAAAGAACAGTCTTTGAAAAGCGATAATTCTTACAGAAAAGCGATGATTGAAAAGCGATAATTTTCACATGTGAGATTATCATGAATAATCTCACATGTGAGATTATCACTTTTATCAGTGCTCGAAATCTCTATAAAGCACTATTCTTTATATAATAAAACGCGATAATCACCTAAGTGATTTTCGAAATATTATGGCGGCCGTCGGCCGAAGCCGTTTTGACTATTAAATGACGAAGAAATGTGTATTTTTATTTTTTCCACCAAATAATCACCTATGAAATTATACTAAAAGAATTATTCGCCTCAGGCTCGGTGGTTATTGTTAAATGAAAACTTCGACTTTTTCTCTGTTCCTACTCACCGATAATCACCTAGCCTTCGGCAAAAAATTGTTAATTATTTCTGTTTTCTATATTTATATTGATATTTTGTAAAGGGCCCACTGTAATTGGTGTTAAGCTGTTGTGGTGTGCCAGCTTCTTTAATGCAATTATTGTATGATGTTTGGAAGCGAAGCACAATAAATAAATAAATATGTCGAAGTGGTGTGATCGTTGAAGATCTAATGAAGATATACTTTTCTCTCATGCGGTCAGTAAAGTTTTAGAATACTACTGCATTTTGTGGCACCATGTTTTACCATATAGTACTTTGCCGAGCAATTGGAGCGTGTTCCGAAACGCGCATTAAGAATAATTTTGCCAGGACAGTCTTATACAATGAAGCCTTTATAGCGACCCTGAGGTACTCTCGGTCGGATGAAAGACGAGAAGATCATTGCCCAATGAAATACCATGGAAAATATCGGAAAAGGGAGTCCTCAATTAAATCATATTGCAGCGCCCATAGGAACTTTAACAGTTTAACTATAGAAAAAGAACAATAAGAAACGTGAATACATTGAACAACAATTAAACATAGAACAGAACGATAATCTGTTTCTTTCAGCAGTTTCTATCAGCCATTAAAACTCTAGCTATGATAGGTTTCCAATATGCAAATATTAGCAAT